GACCCACTTAATATGAGTGTTATGTACACTATTATGTACTTATAGCATGTAAATCGGTATAGTAAATATGTAAATTTTGTGTTGGTTGTTGGTACTAATATTTCATGTAAAAAAAAACATGAATTAACCAAAGGAAAATGAAGATGGTGGGGAACTGAATTATTATTTATTATCACTTTATTTCACATGCCAAGTGAAGAAAGTGCTGCATTTAGAAATGACGTGACTTGAGTTGAGTCGAGGCCTGTGCAGTTAAAATATTTGGAGGCCTTTATGCCCCACTATATATCTTTCCACTAAATTTACTCCAAATGTTTTTACCTTAACAAATCTTCACGAATAAAAGTCCCCTGGTCAACGTTCACAAATCTTCATGAATAAAAGTCCATTGGTCAACGTTTTGAAATTCATGTAAAATAACATGATTTACTGTATCAAGATAATAGTATATCCCATCAACTTTTAAGTAATTGACGTTTCGTTAAAAAAGAAAAAGAAAAAGCGGTGTTATACATTTTCTATTAAAAAGTTTATTGGTGCATAATTATAATTACAAATTATATATGCACATATAATGACTAACTTTATTTATAATCAAATGTTTGACAATTCTAATATTTCATTAAGATTATTGTTACTTAACTTCATACATTGTAAATAAATATACACATTTTCAAACTAAAATGACATACTTAAAAATAAAATATACACATTTTCATAACTCACGAGTATTGCATTTCTACTAATAAGGTAATCCATCAATTGATTAGTCCGCCTCAGTACATAATAATTTATGGAGATAGTCTAATTTATTAATATGATAATTAGGATCGTTTTTGGCTATTGAGCCATGCCACGATAATACAAAGGATGTACATTTTGATATAAACACACGATTTTTATGCTTCACACTATTATTTTTAAAATGATAAATTATCAAAACACCAAAATTTTTTGACAAATTGTATATCAATACAGTATATTAAAGTAGATTTTCCTTTCCCTCAATTTACACCAAATTTTATTCCTTATGGTTTCATTAGTACATATAAAAGAGAATATTTTGAGAACAAATGAAGGGGAATGTTAAGATTGACATTTTATTGATCGTTAATAAAGTTCGAACCATTCAAATTTGGTCAAATCCAAGACTAAAATGCGTTGTACGAAGTCCACCTTCTAAAATTGAATTAAAAAGTATTTGACATTAAGATACTGACAAAACTTTTATGGATGACCGACTTGGATTGGGTTATTGAGATCTAAGGATCACAAACTCAGCACACCTTAATTAAATGATTTTGGAAAAAAAGAGGCGAGAAGAAAAGGATAATATATATATATATAGATATATTTGTAAGCAAATGTTTTAATAAAACTCTTTTTTTTTTTGTAATTTTCATTTACACAAATATAATTATTATACATATGCGTGTTATTTTAATGATTAATGCACTACAACATTCATCTCTATTTACAATCACATGTTTTTATTAAAAAAAATCAGATTTTTTAACATAATTTCAGTACATTTTAAGTTACAATAATTGCTGGATTCTTAACCTTTACCCCAGTATTTTTCAATTACACGCGATTTCAGCACATAAATAATAATAATAATAATTATTATTATTTTCAATCACTTAGTTAGTCACAATCTCTCAAATTATAAACAAATATATTACTTATTTCAATGTATATCATAAATATAGTGATTAATATGTAATACACTTCATACTTATATTGTTCATTTTTATTAATTGATAAAATTTTGAAATTTGATACACTAATTATTTAATAAATAACTTTAAATATTACATGCATACATATAATATAATGTTTTATTTATATATTCGGATGTATATAAGATTGACTACTAGCTAGTTAAAAAGAAAATGTAGCCTTATTAATTGATGGTTGCCTATATGAAAAATGGTTTACTTATTTTGGCATTTTCCATCCCAAAAGCAAATTGCGGGATATTATAATATGGTTTTTCTCATTGGTCAGAAAATTATGCCAAAAGAAAAGTTAGAGTTAGATAATATTCATTGCCCTCTTATTATTCCTAACAATCAGATCTTGCAAAGCAATATATTTATGATGTGGTTGACCTATGTAACTAAAGAGTTAGATAAAAGATATTAGGAAGTTTTAGTTTAATTTTTAATAGAAAAAATATACTACTCATCCTTTTTTTGTATAATTTTATGTATTTTTAAAGTAAAACTTATTTGTTATTATACATTTTGTCTGTAAAAGTTACTATTAATCCAATTATATGTTTATAATTATCCTTTATTATATTTATTATTTCTATATAAATAACTTTTGGAAAGTATAACCTAGTCTATCAAACACAGTGATAGTAATAAACAAGTTTTCTACTCCCTCCTATTCATAATAAGTGTCGTTTTGGGAAGTTGCACACTAATTAAGAATAATTTTTTTGCCAATATTAACCCTCATTAATGAAGATAGAGATAGATGTTTTAAAAAAAAGATGAAGAGAATATGAAAAGACGTAGTGTATTTATTAACTAAATGAGGGTAAAAATGGAAAAATATGTACAAAAAATCCAAAACGACATTTATTTTGGTTAATAGTTGATAAAGCCAAAATGACATTTAAAAAGAATAGGAGGTAGTAATATATAAAAGCCATCATTGAGCTCTACCTCTCACAGCATCTCCAATGTTAGGATCACTTTTCACACTACTATGCCTAATGTAATGATGATCTTATTTGGATGTTAGTTGATTAGTGTAAAATTAGCAGAGAGATTAGTGTAAAATTAGCAGAGTCAATTTCATTTAGGGCATCTGCATTGGTTTAACATTTTTTTTATTCATTCAATCAAAAAGTTACACTCTCTCTCATCCATATCATCTTTTCACTAATTCTCTCTCCATTTAAACACATACTCACATCCCTTCACATTCATTTAAATACAAATATGGGACCCATTATATCCATTCATTCAATATAAATTTTAATATTCTATTCTCAATAAAAATAAAAATTTAATATTTTTAAAATATAATAATAAATTTTAAATGCATGAAAATAAGAGAACACTACAAGACCAAAATAACTTAAATTAAGATTACACAACAAAAAAAAAATAATAGAATTAAAAAGAATAAAATTAGTAAAATTAAATAAATTAAAACTAGTATTATTAAAAAGATTAAAAATAGTAGAATTAAAATTACAAAGAAAAAGAAAAGAATAAAATTAAATGAAAACAAAAAATAAAAAAAAATAAAGGCACCCAAGGTGCCGTTCAAAGTTATTAACGGGCAAAAGGGGCCCACATAAAATGAACGCCCGCATTGATTTTGAACGGACCAATTATCATTTAAATGGAGTAAAATAATGCCCGTTGTGGATGCTCTTAGAACTTTGACACGTGAAATCCGTTAATTTGTTTAATTGATAACAAACTTACTTGCTTTAACTTTTGAGTCCAAAACATTACGAGAATAAATCTAGAATAACATGTTAATATAAAATTTCACAAATAGTTATATAATTCATTAGTCAAAATCGCTATTACAATATGCTATTAATTAACTACTAATACAATTTTCTATCAACTATCCATCAATACAATTATATATTCACTATGTGCTATCTAATATCCAAACATAGCCAATATATAGTGATGACTGATTGTGCTTAAATAATCAGTGTCAAACAAAATAGAGAAGTATGAAACTTATTAACATTTTCTTCTATATTATAATTAATCACATAAAGAAAATTTTATTCACATTATCTTCTACATTTACTAATCACATGAAGAAGAGAGATAAATTATTTTCCTAGTTTTAAGGAATTCATGTATTATGTTGTTATTATTTTTACTTATAATTATTTATGTTGGCTAAACGAACAATGTTAAACTAATTTATAAGTCTATTTAGCTACCTTTTAAATTTATTTAGTTAACTTATAAGTTTATTGTATATAAGGAAGTTTGATTTGACAAAATTATTATTTTTTTACAAAAAATTGAGCTTATATATGTCATAATCTTGTTTATGTAACTTTTCAAAGATGTCTAAAGAAAATTTTATTTCATCTACTCGTTAATTAATTGTATCACACACTCGTTATTCAGCTACTACCTTTTCAACCATTAATAGTAAGATATGAACTATAAATTTAAAATTTACTTTTAAACTATTAATTGACTTGTTAATTAAAATCTATTTTTTCATCTAAAAATTTACTGAACATCCCTCGACTCAACTAAATTTCAACATTGACTTGTTAATTAAAATTCACAATATTTCAACATTGGAAATGTGTTGTTATAAGAGCACTCACACACTCTTTAACCAAGCTGATTTATCGTTACCCAAAACGCCGCCGTTTGTCCTCCACTGACCTTCCTGCTGAGACTGTCAAATGTCAATCGACCAATCTCCATTCTTTTACGACTTCGAATTCCATATGAACCCTTCCTTTTCCTATATAAATCGATTCATCGTACTTTTTTCTAAACCCTCGATAGGTTGAAAAAATTCACCAGTCTTGGTCCTCTCTTTGCCTTGCTCAGATTCGCTTACTTTTCAATTTTGCTTGTTGGGTTTGCTTGATACAACTGATTTTTATCTCAGATTCCAAGAATCAAAATATATAATATATTTCCAAGAAATTTCCCGCATGATCGGAGCGTGTTGTGCACTCCATGATTTTTTGGAATTCTGAAATATCACTGCAGAAAAATCTCATATTGGCTTTGTTTCGTTTGAATCTCTGATTTTTCTCCGCCCATCAAGACTCTATTCTGGCAATTGCTTTCGAAATAAGCTATAAAAGTCCAATCTTTT